GTGATAACATCCTTCAACCGCAAGCCCCTAATGAACGCAATCGATTGGCGGCGTGTGATGCGGGTAGCAGTGGCAATTGGGGCAGGGTAGTTTAAAGGACGGTGACGCATTGGCAATGAAAATAAAGTTATGGGCCCACCGTCATTGTTCGAGTGGCCGGTTTTATTAGCACTGAATTATAGCGTAGTACTCGCTACCTAACTCTAACGCTAGTCATTGTGTTCGTTAGGGTCAGTATTAGTTGTCGCAGTAGAAGGGTCGCACAAGCATTTGCTGCCTTATTTTGGGCCGGGTGTTGGACGCTGGGGAGAGTAATATGAGGCAGTACCTACTTTCAAATGATGGTCCATTAATATAAGAAACAGGTAAATGAAAAAAGTGGTCTGATAGCGTTGGCGACCGCCTGTCTGTGACATTGTAGAAAAAAGGGAGAAGGACGCGGAGTTTTCACACATAAAACCAGAAGTAAGCTACGCACAGTGACGTACTAAGCATAAACTGTCAGATGTCAGTTTTAAATATGGAGAAGGAAGGGCGGGAAAAAAGATTGTGAGCCAGTAATTGACAACTTACCCTTGTGGACTGCATGCATGTGACGTTCGAGGTACCAGCGCTGGGGAAAACCTTTGCCACAACAGCTGCACTCAAATGGTTTGCTCTCTAAACACAGAGGAAAGGAAAATTCAGGAGTGGGCCACCGACAAAGGGATTGGATAGGTGTGGAAAAATCGGCAGAAATAAGCACCGGTCATTTAAAACTACAGATGGGTATTCCCCTCAGTTAACTCAAGCAAAGGAGTGTGACCAGAGTTGGCGTATTTTTGTGAAAGGTTATTAAATCTAGATGTAACAATTCTACATAGCTCACAATCGGTCCTGTGACTTTTTTCAATAGTCGATAATGAAGAAACCCTTATAATCGATCAATTTTTCGCCTTAGTGCTTTCAGCCACTATCGTTTGCGTATGCGCCCCGTGTTGCTCCTTTTGCCACTACATCGACGTACGTTTCCTCGAGAACCGATGGAAGTCCGGCATTTTCGTCTAGTCCTTTTGCTGTCCACTCCTCGCCTGTAACTGTTCGCTGAGAGTAAACTTTGGATTTAGACACCTGCAGCCGATAGTGAGACCCTACATTTTGCCGACATATTTACGAATTGGTAAACCCTGTCTGCATGACAATTCATTCCTCCAACGGGATGGACTTCGGCCTGAAGACACCGTCGGTAAATGCACGGCAGGCTCCATACTTATCTGAGTGCACGCGCGCTTTGGTTATCTTTACGATTGTCCACCCAGTAACGAAGTTATCAGGCGTGTCGATACAGGTGAAAATGTGAGTACCGCAAAACAGAATTTGACGCGATCGCTAGGACAAGAACTTTATTCGCCTGAAGTTTCGGATTTTCCCCTCGAACCCACCATCAGAGGCAATAGCAGAAACGGGTGCCATTGTCCCTGGTGATGGGTTCGAGGAGAGAATCCGAAAGGCCAGGCGAATAAAGTTTTAGTCCCAGCAATTGCGTCTACTTCTTTTCAGGTATCAGGCGTGTTCAACTGGAGTATCGCATCGTCGTAAAGGGGAGCAACTTTCACCACCAAGCGCACACCAAAAAGGAGAAACGCACAACTGCATACTGATGATAAAAGCGGGGGGCGCCAAAGGCGACGCAATCAAGCGTTGCCGACGACTAAACGGGCAGCCCTGTATATGAAATTTGGTCGAAGGTCTGACGAGGTGACAAGAATGTAGCATTACAGACATCTGGGTCGGCCAGTTATGCGTACTCTGGATAGGCGTATAGTTCAAATTTTCTTTTTTAGGCTAGTACCCTTCATGGCTTCCTGTCTGTCGACTGACGAGTTATAGGTCCTTATGGTATGCAGAGGCAGTCGGAAGGAGTGTTAGGTAGCTGGCCCGTGAATGCAATACTGCCAAGGCAGTCGCTTACAGAATACTACAGCAGTACCGTTTTGGTCCCATCGCGCTGATCGACTGCAGGGAATTCAGCCAAACTTCCCAGAATTAAGCCCGAGGCACACTTTTGTCGCATTTACGTGCACAGCCCACTGACGCGGAGATGCTACAGACATCACTGTAGTACTATCTTCCTGAAAGATCCTTCAACACTGGTTGAAAGGCCATGGCCATGCATACGGAAGGCTAGAGACGCGGAGGTTTTCATTAGTTTATAGCATGCGCTATTTGTGGTGGCCG